AAAATTATTTTTTTGCTGCAAAGTTTTAGATACATTTATGCATGATTTTAAAAAACTAGAAGTTCCTGTGGGATTATCTGTCTTAATATATTAATTCAGTGAAAACTGTTAGCATATTCAAATGATTGGACTCAAATGAAGAGTACCCATTTTTTATGGGGAGTTACTATCTATTTGCATACTTCTTCCCGACATCCCACTTATCTTCCTCAGCAAAGTCTCTTCCTGTTCCGCAAGGACCGCAGACAGACGTCGCGAAGCGCTCGCGTATATTTAACCATAAGTAATATTAATACCCATTTTTGTTAACCGAAAAAAAATTGAGGGGGGAGGGGGGCGGGGTTTACTTTCTGTGTGGACTGTGGGTGGTGTGTGTAAAATTATTATCCTTCACGCTTAATATGCACAAGCGGAAGCCGTCATTTGTACGCCACCGAGAGAGATGACGATGACCAAACCCAGGGCCGCTGGCCATTTAGCATACGCAACTGAATGTGAGTGCGCCTGGTGCTCCTTTTTTTTAGACCGGCGTTTTTATGTCATCGTCCTAGTCGACGTCTACTTATGTGCCACATGCTTCGCTTTGCACTTGGAAAAAAAAATGGATGGTAAGGGTGACTTTGGCAATTTAAATCAGATCTCTTGGCATTCTTTTAAAGTTTGTGGTATATAATTTATAATTTATTTATAATTTTTACGTTCGGGTTACTTTTTGTTTTTCAATTTAAAATGTTATACAAAACTCTCAATAATTGTGTATTCAGATTTAAGGATTAATATCCGATTATCCATCTGGCGTGTGCCCTGCTATGATATCCTGAAAAACCGGTTCGGTGGCACCAACAAATTATTTTTAAGTTCAAGGCGATCGAAGGCGTAGAACAATTATTTTATACCGCAACTTTTCGCAGTGCACCTTGCGTTCTCCGGCTTGCTACGTGAGTTGTCCGTTGTCCGTCCAAGGGAGCGCGTGTCCTTACAAAATTAGTGCTCTTTTACATTCATATGCGACGGGCTATATATGTATGCACACATGCATCTATTTCTGATATATACCATTTTTTCCATAATACTCGTACATTATTTTCGGTTGTACACGTTACCAAAAAACAAAAAAAAAATTTTAAAAAAATAAATGAGAAGGAACTGCGGACAACCGGACAGCAATCGCAACGCTGATATATAATATAATATATTTTTTCTGAAACTGTGTGCCACTTTGGCGGAAGTATCGCAGCGACATCAGCACGAATAGACCCCCGCCTTAACCCCTAGTTGCCCCCAACCCGCGATGCACTGGACACTCTTGAGCATTATGCGTTTTTTGTGTGTTTAGCAAAGCATAGAAAAGTGAGCGTATAAAAAATTGAAACCATTTTCTCATATTAAATGTGTGCCGACCGAAAAGAAGGCGGTGGGTGGGCGTGGTACCAGCAGTTAATAATGAGTGTAGCGCCCCCCAACGGTCAGCGTTGGCATCCGGACGCAAGCAGTCTAGGTCCTGAGTGCAAGCAGTACCAGGAAAACTATGCAAACATGACAAGCAGTTGATTCAAGGCACTATATTTTTCAAAAACATTTTATTTAATGAATAGATGTTTTAAGGGGTTGTAGAATTCTTATATTTGCATTGTGTTTTTCAATTGGTAAGAAATATATTATATATAATACATTTGGAACTTGGAAACTGATTAATATAATAAAATATTTATCCTTCAGTTTAAATATCTGCCTTCGGCTTTTGTATGCCGCATTTCTTTTGCCTCTTAAATCCCTTATTTTCATGCACATATCCGTTTCCTGGTTGTAGTTAACAAAATGCTGATCTCTCCGTTTTATTCTCGTGGAACTTTGGTATTCTTTGCCCCCATTTTCCCCCCATTTAGCACTATTTTCCCCTTTGGTTGGCGGTACGTGTCGCCCTGTCACTGCGATATATCTCCCATATATATCTGAGACACTGAGACCCGACTGCTGATTATTATTCCGCTGACCGTTTCGTATTTATTTGAAAGGCATTTGCCGCCAGCCACCAACACACATGCAAGCGCGCAGGACACACATCTATGTGGCTTTGTTTTCTTTTTTTTGTTGTCCTGAAGGCGAGGAACAAAACGACATATTCGTCCTGCATAAATGATGTAATTACAGCGCAAGATTTTCGCTATGAGCAATTTTTATTTTAATTTCTTCCCCCGCTTTTTTTCTCCATTACCCCACTCATTTATTTTCCTCGCTTCGTTTGCTTTTTTTTTATATTTTGCCCTATATGTTCCATCTGATATGTAAGTACGTAAGTGCTATACAGCACTTGGTCTGCCAGTTTGTGAAATATTTTGCATGCTTTTATCATAGTTTTAATTAAATGCGCAAATTACTATACTTTTTATATATTTGTTTGCATTTTTTTAAAAATTTGACTTCAGTTCGCTGAAACTGGAGATTAATAGTAGTAGATGTGCGGTTTTAGCTGATGTTTTCTCGAGGAACATGGCAAATTAGACATAATATATCTTAAGCTATACAACATTATAATTTGTTACTAGAATTTTAAAGGGACATTTTTACCATTGAGAGTTTACTTTGGTAAATTATTATATATTATTTTCGGAGTTTCTGTGTTAATTAATAAATTAAAATAAATAAAAAAAAACATTTTTTCAATATTATATCTTTAAAACTATGTCAGGTTTTGCAGATCTATGTAATTAGCTAAGACATCTTTAAATTTTATTTATATTTAAAGACAACTTTATCATTACTGCCCAGGCATACATTTATTTTACCCCATTTAAACGTTGACTTCCTGCCATTTATTTTAACCAGTCAAAGTCTCGAATAATATCAACAAACAAGGGCTTATTTTTCCACCTTTTTTTTCTAAACCTTTTTTTTTTTTTAACTAGACCGCTGATATTTTACGGACCCGAAAACAAGACCCCCCAAAAAAAATATCAACCCACCTGCCAAACAGACTCTAATGCATTTCTAACATGGGTTTAAGGTGGATGGAAGGGGGCGGGGCCAAAAAAGGGGGCCTTTGCGATTTGTTGACACAGCCAACGCCGCAAAAACATTGGCGGGCGTGTTAAATGAAATGAAAAGCCAAACGCGCGACCGCGAAAATCAAACAACAATAAAAAATAAAGGGGAAAACCGCAGAAAGGTAGCAACAACAACAACAAAACTGGACCAGGGAAATTGCGATGGTAGCAGAAAAAAACGACAACAACAACAACAACAGCACACTCGCACATACACAAACAAAAACAAGCGAAAAAATAATAGTTAAACCCAATTTGTAATTTGTTTGGCAAATCGCGCGAATGGTGGTAAAAGCGCAGAAACACGAAGAAAAATTGAAAATTGTTCGCCATTTAATATATTTAAATAAAGCAGCAACATCGTTAAGAACTTTAATATACATAGATTAAAATAATGTAGCTATATTAATATGAAAGATTATATAGTATACATAAATATGAACATTTACAGAAACTTTATAAAAATAAATTTCAAAATTAATATTAATAATTTTTTAATCAAATTTTTTTATTTTATATGCTTTTAATATTTAAACAAAAAGGTAACATCAGTATTATTTCACCAAATTAAATCTTTAAAATATTTAAGCTTCCTCATAGGCTCATATATTTTGAAAATTAAAAACAATTAAATGGTCTTTATTTTTCTCAGTGCCCCAATATAGCAACAGCAACAAGAAAAGCCACAAAGCTGAAAACAGCTAACGGGTAAACGGTAAACCAGCGAGCGCCTGGATCCTGGGTCCTTTCCCCCAGCTTTTTGATTGTGTGAGTGTGTATCTGTATGTGTTGTCGCGATGAGAAACGTGCCGATGCATAATCATTGAGGCCATTATCATTTATTTCACTCAAAGGTGTCGTTGCTGTTTCGCTTCCGTTCTGCCGTTTGCCGTGAACCGCCTGCAAAAATCAAAAACACACGCACCGCCAAAAGAATGGAAGTAAAAGAAATGCAGGCTTAGCTAATGCCAGCAGACTTTTGGCCCCACTGCACGATCCAACATTCAAAATATTGGAATATACAAGAGTTGTAAAAATTAAAATATAATACTGACAAAACCTTTTTTAGTCCAGAAGATTGAAATCACTAAAAAGCCGATCAAAGTAAGACAAAATTGATGGACAAAAATTCTGTTTAAAAAGGTTATATTTGTATAGCATTTTTTTAGACTCCATTTTTAGAAGCCTTACCCTGCACACACAAAATATTTTTTTACAAAAATATAAAATAATAATATAAGTATTACCCTCAAACATTTACCGAAATATTTAAAGAATTTGTAATATCTTTACGTCTATGACAGAATTAAGAACAAATTATGTCCTAAATTAGCTGAAAACTCTTAGAGTTTTTCAGAGGAATATCATCATAGCCGAAGCCAAATCTTTTCCCTTTTAAGAAATCAAATCGTTTAGTGCAAAGCGACCTCAAAATCCGCCAACGATTAGCAAATAACCCAACAACAACGCCGCTGCGATTTTACTACCGCATCCACAGCAAACAGCGGACAAACAGCGTCCTGTGCTTGAAATTTATGAACCCGAATGCCATGCTAACCCATTCAACCACTCAACCGCACCCCCCCAACCATCGTCCTTTTGTTTGAACGATTTTTACGTTGTTGGCCTATTTGTTTAGGTCAAAACTATAAAAATCTAACAAACTATAGCGTAATGAAATCAAAAAGGCCAGGAATAGCATTGTTATAATAAAACATGATAGGAACTGAGAATAAATTGTAAAATGTATTCAGCTTTAACCATTAATTATTATTTGCTAAGAACATACTTCATATAAAAAAACTTTCACACTCTTTAGTGAACTATTCTATGTGATCCTCAAACACTTTATCTAGCTAAAAGTTTTTAATACTCGGAGTAAACGTAGAAACCATTGCGATTTACTTAAGTTACCTGTCAAGCTCTTAAGTTTTGATCTTTTGAATATAGTTCAGTTACAGCTGGCTCGGCAAACGATAGGCAGGAAATAAAACAAAAAAAAAAAAAAAAATCAACAATAAATTTCTTTGTATATATTTTCTTCGATCAAATTTGCAAGCAACTGCATTATGGCGTTGAAGATGAACCAAAACCAGAACCAGATCAAAACTAACTTCGCCCAGCAGTATGTGGGTAGGATGGTCGAACCCATTTCGCCGGTGCCGCACATGTCGTCATCAACTCTACGAGTCCGTCGGGCTGTCGTCGAATCCTATCGGGGTCCTCAAATCGCCCCCGATGATGCCATGCTGCCAATGCCGCCGCACAACAAAGCCCAGAATATGGGTGAGATTCTGCAGGACCTTCGACAAAGACTGGCGATTCCGAAGTTCTGGCAACGAGCCTTGCGACTCCTGAAGAAACGGGCCTAGTTCACATTTTTAAATACGATAATAGCGATAATAGACTGGTGCAACCAAGTCATATCTATACTGCGACTACTACTCTCGTCCACTTGTAAAGTCCTTAAATAAAAACTGCAAGTGTGTTCGATTTTAGGTTCCACAAATGGTTGTAATCCCATGAAAATCCCATGAAAAACATGTGTATTGACTGTGCTCCGAAGATGTTTTATATATGAACTCAAAAATGGTTTATTTATTTAAATTAATTAAAAATACAGATTTGAATACCCTTACAATTACTAAAGCTCTTGATTTTTACAATTTGGTTTGTACTATTCACTTTGTTACACAACCATCCAACACTATGGCGTTATATTTACCAGGGCTTTGGACACCATTCCACACGGCGAGCAATTTAAATGTATTAAGAGTGGAGTTGGGACATCTGGCCGGGCCCAAATCGCAAAAGGCCGACGCTGCAAACTGGAACAACAACAATGGCAAAAAGCGCAACAAAAAAATTAAATTCCAACATTAAAATAAGTTTTTAAAACTAAGCAGCGCGGCTTATGTCACAGAAAGAGAGAAAGAGAGACAGAGACAAAACAAAGGGGCTAAAAAGCCCGGCAGAACCACAGGACAGACGGCATTTAGAATATAAATTTAGTTAAACAAATCTCGGACGAGGCGACCTCCCCAAGGTACGAGTGCAGCCAGAGTTGCCACCGTCATGTATGAGTTTTCTGGACGGTGAAACTGCCCTGCACGGAAATAGAGCACCTGATGTGCCTCACTTTTAATAACATAACTTATAGAGTTTAGTTTAATTTATAAACTTTATAGTTAGATAGAACGAAGTGGACTAAGAGCTCAATGATATAATTCATTATAATACATTCTTAAGACATTTTAGTTTTAACAAGTATCTTAGTATAATTTCTAAAAATTAAGTCAAAATAAATACAATTTTAGTATACCAAATATAAAAATTGTGTTGCAAAAAATTGCCTATAGTTTCTTTCTGACTATCTCAAATCTTTTAAATTTATCAAATTTTTAAGCAAACTAATAAGTTTCTATTCAACAATTTTTCAATTGTTTTGATAACCCTTGAAAACTAAAAATATCACGACTGTAGGGCATTGGCAAAGCTTTCGACCCCCAGACCCCCAAAGTGCATTTCGTTCGTTTTAGGGTTAGGGTTAACCCTCCACTGCCCTTGTGCCCCCAAACACCCCTTCGCTTTCTGCATTTTCTTGTTCTGCTTCTTTATCTTTTTGCCATGTAGGCTTCTCTGGCTCGCATATCCCACCTCTTTATTTCCCCGCCGCCAACCGCTGACAAACGTCAAAATATAATTTTTGCGTGGATTTGCGTTGGCCCAACAACAACAAGAACAACAACAGCAACAGTAATAAATGTCAGGGGGTTTCAAACCCCCCACCAAAAAAAAAGAGAAAAAAAATGAAACAATTTTTGCAACTGCTGCCTGCTCCTTATCTCAGGCACGTTAATGTGGCCTATGTGGCATGTGGGGGAAGGGTTGCCAGCATTGCATGTCCTACTGTGAGACATAATTTTTAATAATCTACAACACAGCCCGGCCACAAAAAGAAGGGGGCGCCCAAAAATACGCGCATGCAAATGGCTTAATTTAATATATAATTATACCCTGACAACGCAGGAAGACTCCCACAGAAGATATGGGCTATTTAAGGTGCTGTAAGGGTATCCATCCAGTTCTAATAAATACTAAAGCTTATTTTAAAATCTTGTGAAAATAATTTGATTTTCGTTTTGTTAAAAACCGATTTTTTAAATGTAACATATTATAGTAATAGCCTCTCTATGCAATTTTCAATGTTCTAATGATGTTCCTTTAACAGAGGCTTTCTATGCGATTCTCAAACTTCTTATGTAGATTCTTTGCATTTACAAATAATTCATACTCAAAAACCAAACTTTTTTAGATATTATCAAGTACTCTGCTTTCCGCTTTTTGGTTCCCGTTACAATTTTGTAAAAACGAATGCATTTTAGGGTCTGTATATCACTCATACGTACTGTTGACATTATAGAAATTTTGTATAATTGGCATACATGTGGTATGAGAAATGTTTTAAGGCCATTTTACAACACCAAAAACTTAAATCAAATGGCTATGGTTGTTAAATGTATTTTTTGCTTACTAAAATCTAGTTTAAATTCTAGATATATCTATCAACCCAGAGCATTCAATAGTCATCCGTAGTAAACTCCTTGACGCCCACTTCGGGAGTGATTTCCAAGGTTTCGCTTGTACACCTTTTTATCTGACTCCGAAGGTTGGCCAAAAGGTGTTAAGATGAAGATGCCATATACACATGTGGAAGATTGTGTTGTCTAAGCTCCAGATTGATGCCGCCTTTGCCGCAAAACCCAATCCCAGAGCTGTAATTAAATTATCATGCCAACAGCATAACGCCGCCTTAACCCCTCGCATGTGAGTGGGGGTGTTGTAATTCAAACAGGAGCCAACGCAACGGGTTAACATTAGCGCACTTTTATGGCCTTCGCTGGATAAGTAAGTTGAGTCTCTTTTTTCTATGATTAGCTGCTAAATTTATGCCAGCCGCAAAGGCATTTTGTGGCAGGCAGTTAAAACAGCAATAACTGCAGTGCCTATTTATCTGCTAGAACAATCTTCGTTGCGAAAACGTTACCTAAATTAAAAAGCCAAACGTACACATTTTAAAATTCTGAAAAATGAATAAAATTAAATTTATAAATGGCAATCGATGGATAGATCAGCAATGCTGATGATCAGGACATGCTACCAATTAAACATTTGATCATAAGTTTCTAATCGAAAACAATATTTGCCCTTAATTCGGAAAATTTCCCCTTTAATATGTATTTTAATTGGCAAAACACTCTGGAAGGACAATTATTTCAGTTAACTTTACCCACTTATTAACAAAATCTTAAACTTCGATGCTGATGAATAAGCTTGACTATCCTGCAAAATAATGAAGCTAAATATTCAATAATTGCATATATAAACAGATATTAGTCCTCGATTTGGCAAAATAGTAAGTTAAAAAGTTTGTCTAAACAATTGTATTTGAATTTGCAAAACATATATGTTATCTTAAGGAATTTGATTATGTTTTGTAAAGTTGTTAAGCCCTAAATCCTTATATATTGTATTCAATGCTGAAAATCTAAGTGGGCTATCAAGTAAAACATATTTATATTGAACTATAATATTTTATAATTTCAAAATGCTTGATTTGGTAAAATGTTTAGCTTAAAATGTTATTAAATATAATTATTTGAGTTTTCAAAACATCCAGGTTCAGTTATTTACATTTACTTACTAAACCTAAAGCCCTGATGTATTCAATCTTAATAGTTTCCGTAAATATATAGATACAATCCAGCTTCAGTAGACGGTTATTCGTATGGAAATCCAGTGGAAAAAAAGAGAAGTACTAAGGAAGGCTGTGGGTGAATGGGTTTTCCATCTTGGACAGCAGCTGTTGACCAAATGTGGACTAAGGACGTGCTTTTAATTTTTAAAAACTGCTCTTAAAACGCGATAAAACACGTTGAAATGGCAAATAGAGGACGGAGTGGGTGGAACCATAAAAAAATCAAGCCAAGAGGAGTAGAAGATGAAAATTAGTAGAAGAGACGGCGAAAGCAAGTTACATATGTACTTAACCAGTTACATTTGTGTGTGTGGTGTGTGTGTGTATGTGTGTAGAGTATATATTTTATTCATATAGACATACAAACCCACACACGAGAAAATCCCAAGTTGGGAAATAAAAAATATGCTAAAAAATGGGGCTTGTGAGATGGGGGGTTGCCCAGAGTGGACAGTGCATCTGAAAAAAATGTGTAAAGCGTGCATTTACATAATGAAAGATGTAGCAGAGCAAGTGTGTGTGATTTTTTTTAGAGTATATGTGAGGCAAAAGGATTAGCGATGGTCGTCATGTGCGTGGCACAACCAAAAAAAAAATATAAAAAAATAGGGGGAAGGAAAAAAATTAAATTATAAAATATTGAAGCGAGTAAGAAATGCGCAAAAGGGACAGAAAGGCGACAGCACTGCTTGCACCACACAAACTCACCCACAAATGCACTAGAAAAAATACTTAAATATCATTTACATTTTGAATAATTACTATATATCTTAAAGTCATTCAAAACATTTTTAAATTTTATAAGCCACCAGTAAGCAGATTCGTTCTTTTTTTATATCGTTATATTTTATTTGCTGTAAATATAGAATTTCCTCCTTTTCCATTAAAATTAGCTTTAAAATTTGCTAGTCATAATTTAAAATTAAAATATTTCAAGCTACATTGCTGCATTGATTAAAATTAAAGGTTAGCACGTTTTCTTATTGTGCAACCAAAATTAATGTCCTTTTAGATACAAATGCAATTTATAAGCGCCGAGCTCGTGTGTGTGAGGGGTCCCGAAAAATGCTTTCACATGGCTTCCATCACCCACTCAACCCTCTCCCCCATTTTTCTCTGTCTCCGCATTTTTTTTTGCAACATAATTTTGAATAGCATTAAAATTATTAGCTACAAATGAATAAAAAACGAGCATGGGAGCGGGAAAATGAGGCTGCGGGGCTGCAAAAAAATGTGTGAGAAGGACTAGAAGTAGAGGAAAGAAATGGGCGTAGCATATCCTTGAAACCCCCAAAAGCCCCCATTTTTTTTTTATACCGCCCAGCAACAAATGCGCATAATGAGCTCTGGTCAGCCAGCCTAGACGGCCGTGGGAGGTTGCCATCACAGAGATTTACGCGCGACAAGTTTTTCTTGCCCTTTTCCACAACGGAATTCTTTTTCATGCCCTATCAATGGAGTTTTGGGAATTCGGCGACCCTGTGAAACAAATCTTACTATCTTAATCAAGCGGGTTCTCTAGTTTTGGTTAAAAAAATATATTAAAATATAATAGTTTTTTGTTATCTTGGAAATAAAAAAAAATTCTATTTTTTTTTGGTTGTGTTAGTTTTTTTAACAATAGCTATGTAACCTTATCATGTCGTTATATTGCAATATTTCTAGACTTTTATTTTCCATACAATCATATATCTTATATGCTATATTTACTTTTAGAGTTAGGATTAAAACCTAGATTTATATTGAGTTTTACCTTCAATCTCAATATTGAGTATTCCATTTAATTTTATCAATAACATGTATTTTAAATTTTTTTTGTTAAGTCTTAAAATAAATTAAACGCGCTTTAAAATTATATTGATGTTTTAGAGCATTAGAAACTC